AATGAGACCATCCTTTCTCAGAACAGAGGTGACGATTTGCTCAAAGGATAGAAATCCATGAATATACGAGAAAAATGAGACCTTGGAATAGAGAAGTCTGCGTAGTTTGTGATCTGGGCAAGCCCCAAAGACAGAAAAGAGGAAACCACGTATTTAGAACTTAAATTATGTGGGAAATTGTCTTGAGCCATTGACCCATCTTATTATTTACCCATATCTTTGGAGAATAACCAATAAAACCTGCAAACTGATATTTATATGTGAAATGCATGACCAAATCATTTTTTTAAAATCAGTTTAATGAGAGATGACATGGCTGACATACCAATCCCATACAGGGTATAATCTATAATTTGTCTATAAATAAATGAATTTGTGTTTGGAATTGTACTTTAAGAATTCTTACCTACCAATATTTTAGGAGCTCTGGTGGCGTAGTGGGTAAGGCATTTGGCAGGTCAGTGGTTCAAACCTACCACCTGCTCTGTGGAAGAAAGAGGGAGTAGTCTGCTTCTGTAAAGATGTATAGCCTTGGAAACACAATGAGGGTCACTATGAGTTAGAATCGACTTAATGCATTTTGGAAAGCATAAAGATAAAGGAATATCACTAATCATTTAAAAAAAAAAAAATGAGTTGAATGTGTAAAGATGCCCAACATCATTAATTGTTGTTAGGTGCCATAGAGTAGGCTCCGACTCATAGTGACACTGTGTACACCAGAATGAAACACTACCCAGCCCTGCACCAGCCTCACAATACTTGTATACTTGAGCCTATCTTTTTTTTTTTTTTTTTCCTTGAGAGACAAGCACTTAATTTTTATTAACCAAAGGGAGGAAAGTCTGAGCAGTGTCAACTCCAAGCCAGTTCCTCCTGTAGTCTACCCATTTAGGCCAAACTGCCAACAACTGCAGAGAATAGTGGATAGGGTACTTCTCCTTGCCCCTGCCCCAGGAGAGTTCCCAGGGAACCAAGACTCACTGGGTAAGGTAAGGAAGAGGAAGTTAGCAAATGACAGAGGTCAAGGAAGGAAGAGGAAACAGAGCCAGTGGGCAGACAGGCATAGTGAGATCCCATGGCCCCTCACTCTTGATGGGGAAGGCCAACTGCCCCAAATCCAGCCCCAGGAAAGGAACCAAGCAGGGGTAGATGCACGCCAAAAATCTGCATGTGAGGGGTTGGGGCATGGTCCAAGATCAAGAGACAACTCTCTCTAACCTCAGTCCTTGCCAGATAGATGCTGGTCCAGCCTCTGATCCTTTGCCTCTGTACCAG